AATGAGCTGGCTTGAATTTTCAAATTTTCCAATCAATCATTGAATCATATTTGAATAATTAGACTCTGAATCTCTATTGGCTTATATGCCCATGTTAGTTACTAACAAAATAGATATATTGAGTTAATAATTAGTTAGTAATGTATTAATTAATACTCGCAGTAAATATAAAGTAGTATAATTAATACATTAACATTAGGTTAGGTATGGAACAATGTTAAATATGTACCTAGAATTATTTACAATTAATTTTATAGCTAGATTGTTGTAGAAATATTTTATTGTAATAAAAAGGAAATAAATTCACATAAAAAATTTACGGAAAATACTGATAACTGTCTATAATATCTCAAAGAATATTATTAAATCGTAAAATATAACTTTTATGCCTTATGGTGAAATATCTAAATATCTTAAGTTAACGAAACATTTTGTTTAATCATTATTTATAGTGTATTTGGAAATAAAGTATTATAATAATTAATAATATATTTAGTTTTTTATGTCTGGAAAAATGAAATACAAAAGAAATTTTAATATTTTTCAAGCGCTTAATAAATATTCATTTTCTCAAACCATTTATAATTAACTAAAGAAGAAACACAAGAAATAATTTGATTTGCATATAATGGCAGTTTAAAATTATATTGTTAATTTAATGTGTGTTATATGCTGTTTGATATTAATTAATGAGATGTTTCACCATAACTTAAAGTCCATAAGTAATTTATGCCAATAAATTTAATGCAAATCATGATCGGTTTGGTAACTATCCAGACATACGATGTCATTGTTAATGAATAGCAATAAAACATAAAGTTTATTTAAATTTATTTAAATTTGATATTTTAAATCTTACCATTATTGAATTGTTTAATTGGATAATATAACTAGATTGGATTGGATAATGATATATCTATATTATACAATTGTTTATGAAAAAATTTTAATCAATTTGTGCGCTTAAACTAACAATTATTTTGTGATATATTACTGTAATGTAAACCAATAAAAAAAAGTTAATTTAACATAAATATAGTTCACGAGAAAAAAGATTTCATTTTTGAAGTTTATTCACATTATTTTCAGTCATCAGTCACTTAATTATATCGAAATTTATATCTTATATTTCACGCATGAAAATGCATTTTCTATACCGTATGTGAATATCGGTCTTACTTTCCATTATTGACACAATTCTTCGGTTTAATAATAGATAACATAAATTGACGACAAATTATACGTAAAATTATTAATATTATAAATGACTCGTCGTTTTGGTTAACGCTTTTTTCAACACCGACTCTATTTAAGCGTTAAAAATATATGCATTTTTATTATCGTATCTCACAGTTTGAAAATGCAATTGTGTTTTCTTGATATCATTTATGACAACTTAATTATAATTTCATTTCAATTATAATTATTATTTGTATTATTTTTTATATTTCAAGTTCTAATGATTTGGCGAATAATTTGACGATAAAAACAAGAAAATGAAAACAATTGTTAATTAATATGAAAAATATTCACCTCTCTCTCTCTCTCTCTCTCTCTCTCTCTCTCTCTAAAATATTCACCTCTCTCTCTCTCTCTCTCTCTCTCGCAATGTCGATGAGATGGCAATTAGCCAAACATCTGCTTTCAAAACAATATCTGAAACTCATTTTGAAATTAATTATAAATTGTTGTGAATTATACTCTAAATCTTGATTCACATAAAGAAATACTATTCAAACGACAGATTTATTTATTTGAAAAATTTTATTTCATTTAATTGAAGTTCACATACAATATGTTAGTTAAACCAAAAAGACTTTTATTCATCTCTTGAATGCAATTTCACGAACAAAATTAAAAACTATTTTTTCGTTTAATTTTCGGACAAAATATCATTTCATTGTTATGACAAAAATGAAAGTTTCTTTCATGGCTTGAATACAGACGGGATGTAAAGTCCGTCCATTGCATGAATGAATATATTCAAAAAGATTTTTAATAATTATTATAAATGTCATTATTTCCTGGTTTTTTGGTTAACGAACCCTTTGGCTAAAGGGATATATGACTTATATTTCCTTTAATTTTACAATTAATATTGTAATTGCAATTTATAGGCAATGAATACACGACTTATGCAAAAATAAACAAAATAATAAATTAATTAATAAAATATTATCTAATATTAATTGAAAAAGACTTTCCATTAACAGGTGCTTAAAATGCAAAACTTCCTTTACTTTTAATAATTAACACAATTTAAATTATTTTAAAACAATTAAAAGCACAGAACATGCAAAATATAATTAAATGATTGCTAATTACAGATACTTTACTGCACACTAAACACACACAAAGTAGATATGGATAGACTTCTTGGCGGACAAATAGGTTTGGATGACTTTATTTGCGTCCATCGAAAAGGGCAGCGAAAAGAGTTAGAAATGACAAAAACGGACCAATATTTGGGACTCACAATCACTGACAACGGGAACGGCTATGCGTTCATCAAGAAAGTCAAAGAAGGCAGTGCTGCCCATCAAATCAAATTCATTGAGGTCTCAATCCATTCACAACAACCCATTTAACGCTCTGTCAAACTTTTGTAATCATTATACTGTATATTCACTTAAACAGGCCGGCGATCACATCGAGAAAATAAACAATGAAAGTATGGTTGGGTTGAGACACTTCGAGGTGGCGAAGACTCTCAAGGATATCGAGTTGGGCTCAACATTCATCATCAGATTGATAGAGCCCTTCAAAAATAGCTTCCGTTTGTTTCATTCATTTTATTATATAATTTGCAAATTATTTTATAGCAAAACATAAACTAAATATATTTGTTAAACGCGAACACAGAAAGTATTGGTCCGCGAAGTGAGTCGCGAAAGTCTTCGCCGTCGATAGCCTACGGGTCGGGAAAGGAAACGCTGAGAATCCGTAAGAAAGGGCCGCCAGTTGTGGAGTCGATGCCGACAGAAGTGGTGAGAGCGGCGTTGGAGAAAATCAATTCACTGCTCGAGTCATTTATGGGCATTAATGATAACGATTTGGCGAATGAGATCTTGGATTTGGGACAACAGAAGTCTAATCCACACGACTTTGTGATGGCTATCGATAACTCCGATCTCAAAGAGTTTGGTTTCAGCGATAATTTTATATTTGATTTGTGGGGCGCCGTCACTGACGCCAAAGCCGGACGTTTGGCCAAAATTTAATTATTCTGTTTGTGACTTATATTTTGTATTATTAAAAATTAATATGTTTTCAAAGAATTATTTATTTCAATATGTTTTAAAACTAAAATATATAAATTATAACAAATGATATACTTATAAATACTTATTATTTTAATTAAATGTCGAAACGTGTTGTAATCATAATTATTGTGTTTATCATTCATTTGAATAAAAATTATATATAATATATCATAATTGAGTTCTATATTTATTTCATTAAACACTAAATATGCTATTATTGAATAAATAGCTCTATTAACAAATGATCCAATTGTTTTTCTACAATAGCATCATAGATATGACAATGAATATTGCAAATTAGTATCTATGCTATATTTATATAGAATATACAATAGTTTGTGAGCATATTGTGAACATTGAAACTATTTATTGCATTTTATTATCAAATTTAATTAACTTATTCTTGCGTTAGTTTTAGTCTTATGGTTAGTTTATTTTATTTTAAAAATTATTGCTTTCAATATTTGCCTAATTTATTGATTTAAAGCAACTTTATTTAGTTACATATAATGTACTGTATATTAAATTTTGTAAAATTCTGTAAAAATATTTGTTAACTGTACGTTTGTATGTGTTTTTCGGTGTCATTCACTAAATGTTTGGTTTTGTTGCCTGGATTCTAGTTTATAATATTCAGTATATATAAACTCGTGTATACTGTAGATATATAGTAAATTAATGTGAATTACAAAATATGATAATATTATTGTGACATTTGTTTTAAAACATGCAAAATAAGTACTCAAACAACGAATTTAATAGTTCCTCAGGTATGTAATATTTTTCTGATATTTTGTATATCTTTTATATTATAAGTTTTTAAAAATAATGATATGATCTAAACATTCAATAATAAATACATAGAAATAACCTTTTACTATTAAAACTAATGCATCAGGTTATATCTTAACTAAACTTGTTAATATTTGAATAGTTGAATATCAAAGTAATATATTATTATTAGATTTTAAACACTTTAAAGATATTTAATTTAGTTAAAAATATAATTAATATATATATTTCAGGTTCGTTTCCAAACGCTATTAAAAAACTTAAGAAATTAAGTAGAGATGTGTCCACTGTTTTACTATTTAAAATGTTTACAAAAGAGAAAAATGTCGATAAATTAGACAAAAATTCAGTCAACTCAACTACACCTGTATATACGGAATATCGTAATAATCTTGATATTCAAAGCTACGATTACAACTCTTATAGTAGACATGAGTCTATATTTAATTATTCCGATTCTCTACAAACAAATGATACGACAATTAGCCCAAAGGAAAACAACAATAGAAACGTGTCATTGGATTTAAATGCAATCAAACAAATGAAAAGACTAATCTATGGCTCCACACAAATCACATCTCATTCCGATAAATCACCCAAAAGTATTAATTCCTACTCTACTGTCGTCTAATGTTTTTACACATTTCTATACACTTTGCTATAAAAAGAGTTTCATTGTCTTATCTGTTATTAATGTAAATCAAAAATAAATTGACTGATTTTATTGAATTACTGATTGAGTAATTGAAACATGTTTATCTCAAGTTGTCTGATCTCGGCTTACTTTAAACAATCATTTGTATTATACGATTACAGATAATATTGTATACAATAATTGGCTGATAAAGTTGACTGATTATTTTGAGGTTAATATTAATATATTTTAAAGTTATCCTAACAATAACTACAATATGTATTTTTTTGTAGATATAAAAAACACGATTATTTTTGTTGAGATTTTATCGTATATTTTATTCAATTCAAAATTTTAAACTTTTGTTTAAAAAAGTATTTTTATTGTCAATTATTATTCTCATACAAAAAATCTTAATTTCATTAATTAAAAACTTTTCAAATCAATATAACATCTCATCTAAAGCTAATGGGATGCATAAGAGTTGGCGTCCATTTGACGTGAACGGCCGGAAACTTGAATGTGTCGGGTTGTCCGCTATGGAGGACACCCACTATCCGGGTGTTAGACCACTGGAAAGGTGGCTGTTCTTCATAAGAGGGTCCGCTGTTAGCAATCATTTCTAATCGTGAAAACAGATCACTGTTTGTCAGCTTAACATCAATGGCTCCGTGGGATCGGAAGCCGAGGGAATCGATCGGATATCGACCGTTGGGGTCGTTGAGGTCACAGCGGGCGGCGATCGCGTACTCAGCCGTATAGGGAGGACTGCAATTGCATCGGGAAAGCGGGTCATTCTTGAAGTCATTATATCTCATAAGTTTGTAAAGTGAGTCCAAATCCGTCACTTTGTTCTGGTCTCGTCTGAAGATGAGAGCGCGGGCCGTCTTCTCGTAGCTGAAAAAGTCTCCGTATTTAATGTATTGAGACGTATAGTCGCTCATATCGTAAATGCTTTTAAAGTAGGGAACGTTATATGAGGGCCAATAGTGTTGTTCCCGTAATACGTGTGTCACGTCAGCCGACTCTATATACCCGGGTATTTGTTCCACAATCCAAAGCACGTCATTCGCCAAATCGGATGGTTTGACTCCTTTCTCGAACTTATTGTAGTCAATAATCATGAATTGGTTATTATAAGTGCCACTATTGAACTTTGCGAATATCTGCGACCACTCTTTGCCGGTTCGGGCCATTCGGTTAGCGACAGTGTTTCGGATGAACTCAAAGACCACTTTGTCGGCCACCACTTTCGGCCACAAACTGTTGTTATAGTTGCCAATAGACGTCTCCAACACTAATAAACCGCTAGAAATGAGGTAATAGTCATCGATCGAGAAGATAATGCCCGGGTATGAGGAGAATGAGATGTGCTGTCCGGCGATATTCTTGTAATTCAAATTGTATTTCTTGAGAATCCTCAACATTGTTGAATAGCCGGACCAACTGTTATGCGAGACAAACAGATCGCTGCCGTCTTCGAGCACTTTAACGATGGCAGAGCACCGGCCGTCCGACAACTCAAACGTTTTCTTTGTCCGATTCAACGCCTGTTCGAGTTCTCCCAATTCGGTGATCAGATTCAACAACAATAGACCGTTTGCTGACAAATCAATGCGAGCGCCGAGTGGTTGGACGCCATCGCGAGCCGCTCTATACCCGTCTTCAATGCCCGTCAACTGTATTAATGAGAGCTCTATTTGATGCCAATATTCGTCACTTTTGGCGTATTTTTTAATTTCCGTTTTCATGAATTCCACGTTTGTCTCAATGAATGCAAACAATGTATCGCAGAATTGGGAGGAATTATCGCAATAATGTTGGATATTATTATTCCAGTGAAAGTCAATCAGATCTGCCGTCAAATGGCCCTCAATTAGTCCACTAGAATATGCCTGAAGTGAATCGTTGAGCGTTGCGTTTGAGTGTACGTCCAATTGGGCCCAACTATTTATTTTGCAATTATTTAATTATAATCAATAACATGTAATTAAAAGTATTAATTTTTGTTAATTTAATATTTATACCTTAAAATTTAACCTATAGACTAGTAAGAAATTATGTTCTAGCTAATTTACAAATTTTAATAATATTATACATGTATTTAATTTTTGCACTAATTAAATTTAAAATATTTCAAAATTGGTAAATTAATCTAGCATACAAGTTGCAATTTAAAATATTATAAATACCCTGTTTTATTAATGCTGTTATCATAAAGTGCCCATGCTGACCAGCCCTCCACATCGTGTATATCTCCGATCACATCATGTATTTTTCCTTCTAAATCGACATATTTTGTTAATTTAGCGTTTATTACACCAGAAAAGGTGGCAAATACTCCCAGATATACACAAATATACATCAAATACATTGTGTTTTATTAATAAAGAAGTGCTTAATTCACATTTAATTTACAATAAAACAAATGTCATTTAAGTAAATAGTCAAGTATTTATGTGACAAATGCTGCTCTGGCTTTGAATCAACATTAATTGAACTTTGATTTGCCAATCAGTGCTAATATGTATAAAATTTATCAAATTTGTTCATAATTTTGGCAAATTTCCTATACATTTCTTATACATATTTCTTAATATGAATCCCATTCTATTCAATGAGGAAAATATTGAGGCAATGAGAAATTTTCATGAATTAATGTTTATTTTATGTCAACTCTATATTTATGTGATTTATTCTTAATTTAAATGCTGTTATTTCTCATAAATTTTTATCTATAGAAATATTTCCACTAATTGTTATAAAAATTAAATAATTAATACTGTATAACATTGTAAACTAATCAGGGTAATAATGTGCTTAAGCTATTTGATTAAACAATTCCTTGAAATTATATTTTTAAGTTATATTGTACTTTACTATATAATACTTTATCCTAAAAATAATCTATAACAAATTAATCAGCGACGCTGTATTTATTTTAAGCTGTTATTATAATACTTAAACAATTCCTTGAAATTATATTTTTAAGTTATATTGTACTTTACTATATAATACTTTATCCTAAAAATAATCTATAACAAATTAATCAGCGACGCTGTATTTATTTTAAGCTGTTATTATAATACTTGCACTTGCAACTTAATACTTAACTTAACTTAATACTTGCAACTATAAAATAGTAATTTTAAGTTACGTTACATCTTATAATTAATCTATAAATATGGTAATTTTAAAATGCAATTTCTATTAAAATTCACTTTTATATTTTATTCAAAATTGAAAATATCTACATGTGTAGTAAATTATACAATCATTATGAAATAGCAGATTATTATGATAAATAATAAGTTAAAACACATCTATACTTTAGAGTACATACATTTAACCCTAGCTTTTGGTTTAAATTGAAAATATTATAAATTTGCAAAATATTGACGCTTTTAAGCGTTTATTTATTTGAATATAACATAAATATTTACATTAATGGAGTGACAGTAAATATATTCAAATTAAACAAACAATTATTATGATAAATATCATTCTAGCAAAACAAATTCTATAGGTAAAAACCTGTTTGACCATGATCATATTATTCAACAGAATATTAGCATAAAATAGGGCATAATTTATGTGCGAAGAATGGGTTAACCGGCGTCTATAGAGAGCGCGCATGTGTTGACTGAAACCGATTGAAAAATGATCACAAATTCAATGCATTTGTGCTGCGAAACAGCACTACATCTGTATTCATACAACACTAGTCTTATAGCGAAAAAAAATTTAGTGTGAATTCAATTCATTGAATGTTTTATCCATTAATTAATTTTTCGCTAATTTTTGGCTTATTTTTTGAATGCAATCCAAGAATCGTGTTGTGAATCGACTACTCATTCGCAGCCAATACTACACAACACTCTCTTCAACACTGTATTAGCCATACGTTTAACCGTAACATTGATGTAGTGTTTGGTCTCTCATTCACCGCATATTTGCAGTAAAATTAGTCTTTATTTTGTATAACAATCTTATTTTTAGGCAAATGTCATATTTTATGCTAACTTTCACTCAAACTTTCGCTCTTTTTTGGCTCAAATGCTAAATATTTTGCGTCAAAAATATCCGGAGTTTTAATTTTGGTGTCGAGTCTTAAGACTGACTCCGAGTTTGTATTGCATTGAATATAACAGCCGTTCAATGCATTCATATGTTGTGTATAATTCACATTGTGTGCAGAAATCTAATCATATATTGTTTGCTATAATTATATGGATTGAGTGTTGAATACATTACACAACAATTTTATTATTGTTTATATAAAAAAGTTTATTTTAAAATATTTAAAGTTTCACTTTTATCGATGGTTTCAATGCAATACTCGTTATAGTGAAGCCCTTATATCCCATACACTATAACACTTTGTTTGTTGAGTTCAATGTCAGTCTCTGTTCACTGATTAAAACTTAATTAAAACTTTTTTTTGATACACTTTTTAGTTTAAAACTTATTTAAGTTTTTCTTTGCGTTAAAAGTTTTGTCCAAAAAAATAATTCCCGATTTTATCGCAGCGAAAGTCGTCGTCGAAATCGTGTGAACATTACATATGAGAAGAGAAGTAGACGTGAACTGATCCGCAAAAACCATCCGATCATAAGGTGGTAACCATAAGAAGTGCGCAAAAATGTTGTATCTATTGCTGAAGACATCGGTGACGGCGAGTCCGTTGCAGTCACTGCCGAGACTCGCGAACTCTAAACTCCTATTAAACCAAACGTTCAATCGTTGGGCGCATAAGGAGTCAAAGGCGAAGACCGCCGCCAAACCGGAACCGGTGGTCAGATTGGGTCCAATCGCTTACAAACAGTTGACAATCGGTGTGCCGAAGGAGGTGTGGGCTAACGAGCGTCGGGTGGCCTTATCTCCGGCCGCCATCGCTGTGTTGACCAAAAAGGGGATTACAGTGAAAGTGGAGGACAACGCGGGATTTGGGGCCAAATTCTTGAACTCCGACTACGAGTCGGTCGGCGCTAAGATTGTGGACAGAAAGTCAGCCTATGATTCCGATATTGTGCTCAAAGTGCGACAACCGATAGCCGAAGAAATGAACTCTTTTCGCGATAATTCAACGTTAATTAGTTTCCTATTTCCGGCTCAGAATAAGGCACTCATCGATCAGTTGTCTGCCAAACACATGAATGTCTTCGCCATGGATTGTGTTCCCAGAATTTCCAGGGCTCAGGTGTTTGACGCCCTCAGCTCTATGGCCAATATAGCCGGGTATGTATTGCTTTCACTTTCATCTGCCAATTGATTCCTACAATTGTTTGTGACGTTAATGTATTCCTTCTTTAGATATAAAGCAGTTATCGAAGCGGCCAATCATTTTGGCCGGTTTTTTACGGGTCAAATCACTGCCGCCGGTAAAGTCCCGCCGGCGAAGGTGTTGGTAATCGGCGGCGGAGTGGCCGGACTGTCAGCTATCGGAACCGCTAAAAATATGGGCGCAATTGTGCGCGGATTCGACACCAGAGCCGCTGTGAAGGAACAGATCGAGTCATTGGGCGCCGAGTTCTTGGAGGTTGACTTCAAAGAGTCGGGCGAAGGAATCGGCGGTTATGCGAAAGAGATGTCCCCGGAGTTCATCGAAGCGGAGATGAAATTATTCGCTAAACAATGCGAAGAAGTGGATATTGTGATCACAACGGCGTTAATTCCGGGCAAAAAAGCCCCAATTCTTATCACTAAGAAAATGATTGAGAGTATGAAACCGGGATCTGTTGTCGTCGATCTCGCGGCCGAAACTGGTATTTAATAGATTTGATCGATTGTTATGACAACACATTTTTTTGGATAATTATATCTAATTTGTTGTTTGTGTTATAATTTAGGCGGAAATATAGAGACCATAAAACCGGGCGAAGTCTACACATACAAAGATGTGATACATATTGGATACACGGATCTGCCCTCAAGATTGCCGACACAGGCGTCGACCCTTTACGCCAATAATATTTAGGCGGAAATATAGAGACCATAAAACCGGGCGAAGTCTACACATACAAAGATGTGATACATATTGGATACACGGATCTGCCCTCAAGATTGCCGACACAGGCGTCGACCCTTTACGCCAATAATATCAGTAAATTCTTGCTGTCGATGACTGAAAAGGATAACTTCGCTATTGATCTGAACGATGAGGTCGTTCGCGGATCTGTTATCCTGAAAGATGGCGAACTCTTATGGCCTCCGCCGCCACCAAAGGCAGTGCCAGTTGTGGCCGCAAAACAGACCAAACTGGCCAAAGAGCCGCCAAAAGCGTTACTTCCGGCCGACTATTTTAGAGCTACTTTTAAGGACGCGATTCTCTATACAACCGGTTTAGGTATGATTTTCAAGAGTTTTTTGTACAGAAATATTTTCTAATTTATTCAACATTTGTCTGTTGTTTCAATTTTTAGGTTCACTCATCGGTTTGGGTTCAATCGCACCCAACGCCGCGTTTACAACAATGACCACTACTTTGGGTCTATCGGGTATTGTCGGCTATCACACCGTATGGGGAGTCACTCCCGCTCTTCACTCTCCCCTAATGTCTGTGACGAACGCTATTTCCGGCATAACAGCCGTCGGGGGTCTGCTATTGATGGGCGGAGGTGTGGTTCCCACTACTTTACCGCAAGCATTGGGCGCAACCGCTCTCACCATATCGACCATCAATATCGCCGGTGGTTTTCTGGTCACTCAACGCATGTTAGATATGTTTAAGAGACCCACAGATCCGCCGGAATATAATTATTTGTATGGCATTCCGGCCGCTGTTTTCACCGGTGGCTACGCGTTGGCCGCACTCAACGGTTTATCACACGTCCACCAAATGACTTATTTAGGTATTGTTTGAAATGATATTATTGTCATTGTTTATAAGCATGTGTTTTATTGCCCCAAAAGGTGCGTCCCTTTGTTGTGTCGGCGCTTTGGCCGGTCTGTCGTCTCAGAAAACCTCGCGATTGGGAAACACATTGGGAATGATTGGCGTTTCGTCCGGCATAGTGGCGACTCTGGGTCTGATGGACATAACGCCAGAGCTGGCCATTCAAATCGCCGCCTGTATGACCGGCGGCGGTGCTCTCGGTCTGGCGATCGCCAAAAAGATTGAAATAACAGATTTGCCTCAATTGGTGGCCGCTTTCCACTCGTTGGTCGGTATGGCAGCTGTTCTGACATGTTTTGCCACATATATCCACGACTTCCCCACATTCGCCACCGATCCGGCGGCCATGACTGTCAAGACCGCACTCTTTTTGGGCACATTTATAGGAGGCGTCACTTTCAGTGGATCTCTTGTCGCGTCAGTTGTCTTAAAAACTGAGAGATTTTTAAAGAATTAAAATTAATTATAATTATTATGATTATAGTTATGGCAAACTTCAAGGAGTGCTCAACTCAGCGCCACTTCTACTCCCGGGCCGACACGCTCTGAATTCTGCACTAATGTTGGGATCAGTGGGTGCGGGCGCCTATTACCTCATGGATCCGAGTCAAATGGCTGGTCTCACTTCGTTGGGCGCGACCGCCGCCTTGTCTACTGTAATGGGAGTCACTCTTACGGCGGCCATCGGTGGCGCCGATATGCCGGTCGTTATTACAGTATTAAACAGTTACTCGGGTTGGGCTCTCTGTGCCGAAGGGTTTATGTTGAACAACAATTTGATGACAATTGTTGGCGCACTGATCGGCTCCAGCGGTGCTATTCTCTCATATATTATGTGCAAAGTATGTATTAATGGATAATTGAATGTTGACTTGAATTTGACATTTAAATATGCCGTATATTATAGGCTATGAACCGATCGCTGCCTAACGTAATATTGGGTGGTTTTGGTACGGCTCCGACGGGACCCGCGATGGCAATCACCGGAACGCACACCGAATGGAATGTCGACCAAAGCGTGGAAGCGATCACTGAGGCGAAGAACATTATCATTACTCCCGGCTATGGTCTATGTGTGGCGAAAGCACAGTATCCGTTGGCAGAGATGGTGAAGATTCTGAAGGAAAAGGGCAAAAATGTGAGATTTGGTATCCATCCGGTGGCCGGACGTATGCCCGGACAGCTCAACGTACTGCTCGCTGAGGCCGGTGTGCCCTACGATGTGGTGCTCGAAATGGACGAAATTAACGACGATTTTAATGACACGGATTTGGTTCTTGTGATCGGCGCCAACGATACGGTCAACTCAGCCGCTGAAGACGACCCGAACTCTATAATCGCCGTAGTATTATAATAACAGCTTAAAATAAATACAGCGTCGCTGATTAATTTGTTATAGATTATTTTTAGGATAAAGTATTATATAGTAAAGTACAATATAACTTAAAAATATAATTTCAAGGAATTGTTTTATCAAATAACGTAAGCACATTATTACCCCGATTAGTTTACAAAGTTATACAGTATTAATAATTTAATTTTTGTAACAATTAGTGGAAATATTTCTATAGATAAAAATTTATAAGAAATAACAGCATTTAAATTAAGAATAAATCGCATAAATATAGAGTTGACATAAAATAAACATTATACATGAAAATTTCTCATTGCCTCAATATTTTCCTCATTAAATATAATGTGATTCCTATTGAGAAATATGTATAAGAAATTTGCCAAAATTGTGAACAAATTTGATAAATTTTATACATATTAGCACTGATTGGCAAATCAAAGTTCAATTAATGTTGATACAAATTTATAGCCAGAGCAACATTTGTCGCATAAATACTTGACTATTTACTTAAATGACATTTGTTTTATTGTAAATTAAATGCGAATTAAGCACTTCTTTATTAATAAAACACAATGTATTTGATGTATATTTGTGTATATCTGGGAGTATTTGCCACCTTTTCTGGTGTAATAAACGCTAAATTAACAAAATATGTCGATTTAGAAGGAAAAATACATGACGTGATCGGAGATATACACGATGTGGAGGGCTGGTCAGCATGGGCACTTTATGATAACAGCATTAATAAAACAGGGTATTTATAATATTTTGAATTGCAACTTGTATGCTAAATTAATTTACCAATTTTGAAATATTTTAAATTTAATTAATGCAAAAATTACATATTATAGATTTGTGAATTAGCTAGAATAGTCTTAATCTTTAGGTTAAATTTTAAAATGGTTTAAATATTAATGTAACATAAGTTAATACTTTTAATTGGATGTTATTAATTATAATTAAATTGCCAAATGAATAGTTGGGCCCAATTGGACGTACACTCAAACGCAACGCTCAATGATTCACTTCAGGCATATTCTAGTGGACTAATTGAGGGCCATTTGACGGCAGATCTGATTGACTTCCACTGGAATAATAATATCCAACATTATTGCGATAATTCCTCACAATTCTGCGATATATTGTTTCCATTCATTGAGAAAAACGTTGAATTCATGAAAACGGAAATTAAAAAATACGCCAAAACTGACGAATATTGGCATCAAATAGAGCTCTCATTAATACAGTTGACGGGCATTGAAGACGGGTATAGAGCGGCTCGCGATGGCGTCCAACCACTCGGCGCTCGCATTGATTTGTCAGCAAACGGTCTA